GCGTGGTAAGTATTTGATTCTCTTGGTATCCTTCGAACTTCAAAATATCCTAACGATATCGTAGGCAAACTCTGTAGGCTGGACTCCATCTAGCAATGATGTCAATGCTGGTGCAGGACAATATGGTTCATGCTGTACCGAGATGGATATCTGGGAAGCCAACAAAATCTCTGCCGCTTACACTCCTCATCCATGTTCTGTCGACACCCAGACTCGCTGCACTGGAAAAGATTGCGGTATTGGAGCAAGATACGATTCTCTTTGCGATGCTGATGGTTGTGACTTCAACTCTTACCGCCAGGGTAACACCTCATTCTATGGTCCAGGTCTTAAGGTGGACACCAACAAAGTTTTCACCGTTGTAACCCAATTCATCACCAACGACGGAACAGCTTCAGGTACCTTGAAAGAAATCCGACGATTCTATGTTCAAAATGGCGTCGTGGTTCCAAACTCGCAATCCACAATTGCTGGAGCTCCAGGAAACTCCATCACCGACTCTTTCTGTGCCGCACAAAAGACCGCTTTTGGTGACACCAACGAATTCGCTACTAAGGGAGGTCTTGCCACAATGAGCAAGGCTTTGGCAAAGGGTATGGTACTTGTCATGTCCATCTGGGATGACCATACCGCCAACATGTTGTGGCTCGATGCTCCTTACCCAGCAAGCAAGTCCCCAAGCGCTCCAGGTGTCTCCCGAGGATCATGCAGTGCTACTTCAGGTAACCCAGTTGATGTTGAAGCCAACTCTCCAGGTTCTTCCGTCACCTTCTCCAACATCAAATGGGGTCCCATCAACTCTACCTACACTGGTGGAAGTGGATCCGTCCCAACTGTTCCAGGCACTACAACCCTAAGCTCGGCACCAGCATCAACTCCAACTTCTGGAGCTGGTGCCGCCAAGTATGCCCAATGTGGAGGTACTGGATGGACCGGAGCTACCACTTGCGCTACTGGCCTCACCTGTACTGTAGTGAACCCTTACTACTATCAATGCCAATAGATTGTTCCCCTCAGGAACAATTAGGTTTTCAACCTAAGCCGATAGATCTCCACAAATCTGTACATAGGATCGGCTAAATGTTGATCATTCATCTTCTTTCATGTATTTAGTTGTTGACAATTCGAAGTGGGAAGTCAGGCGGGAAAACAGAAGCAGGAAACATATGGGGGTATAAGAAAGTCAATCGTTTACACAAAGCCTTCTTTAAAAATTCCAATCTTGCAATTTGACCTCGATAAGTGATTCCTCGTGAATGATACAATTGATTTGATGGATGAAGTCCTGATGGTAATCTTTGAATCCGCCATCGCCAATAGTGCACGGGCCATGGTGTATTTGCTTATATAATCGAGTAAATTATCAGAATCCCCAAGCCCAAGCAGCATTTCGCAACCTCGAGGCAACTTACACTTTCAACAGATTCTTGACAAGTCCAGCAATCAATGTAACTTTCGATAAAGAGATGATATCCCATTCGTACTTCTTACTCTGATTGTACACCAATGCCCACTTGATCATCTACACTAACTAAAAGATCGATATGCTAATGCCCACAATCTCTCCAAAATGTGAGATGATAGTTCTCAATTTTCCGCAAGCACGGCTCGACCAGCTGACCAATTTCTTGCGCAAATAAACTATCGAATTACAAAATCTGGAGATCAAAGCTACGAGAAAGATTCAAGGGTTTGAATGGTTCGAGCGCAAGAGGAGTATGTGGTGATATCTTGCTCCACGCGAATGCTTTTCCTACGGCAGATGATATTCGAATAATAGGAGATGTGGCCTCGGAATCTGTCCATGTGAGGTTTCGCACAAATAACCTCCCCCTGAAAAAGCAATCGTCTATCGAAAAAGAATCATCCTTTTCTGCGAGAATCGAATCGAATCGCATCCTAGTTCCATGAGTTGATTGAAGGGCATAAAAAAATGATGGTAATGGACAAACATTGATCTCTACGCATGCAAAAGCTTTGACAACTACCAACTCACTGCCATCATCACATCATGCAGAGCTGAACGTATCTTTTAGTACTGCTAGACCGAGTCTCAATATCGTTGTCACATATGCAGGTTGAATGGTTTATTCGTTACGGGTTGCGAATTAATTTGCAATACTTTTGCCAGCAGTCCAGCCCAGAGTTCATTTGTCGATATTTCGCCAGCTAATTTTCAATGCTTGGATTTGGGTTTAACCCAAATCAAACTCCAGACTGCAAACTTCGAGGCTAAATTCTCCTATCATCCGCGAACCGCCGTTAGTTTTCCTCGGGCTATTATTTCAGACTAATAACGACAGAATTTGTTTTTTACGCTCATTGAGGCGACTCCATCCGTCCGATTTTTAGGTCGGATGATCCCCCACCATATTACCAGTTTAGCTAACTGTCACTGAAACAACGAAGATACTCTCCAAGTTACTCGCGCAATACTATCGCCTGGTTATAAGCCCTTTAAATTTAGTCCATTAGATTATCGAATGAAGGAAGTCTAATTTGAAGTTTTCTTGTGAAGCGTTGATTCGTTCTCACCAAGGTCCTTCTTATCATCTAGATCTTCTTCCCCTGAATTCAGGGTCCAAAATCAATTGGTAGATGACCCATAAATAACATCCTAGCATGTACTTTTTCGAACTTTTTCGTACTTCTCGTACTTCTCGTACCACGTACTTCAACTTCGCTTTCAGGGGATTTTAGCTTACACCGCTCTAGGTCCCTCCTTTCCACTCTCGCCACTGTAACTGTTTCATCCTAATCCAGATCCACAAATAGCCTAGACACAGCCTGCTGATCCAATATCGGCAATTAATCTCTGATGTGGATTGTTTTCCGGCTGGGACCTCCATTCTCGAACTTTGGAAGAATTCAAAGAACCCTTAAAAATGCTTATCTCCACTAATATTCCACATCTAAAGCTTTCCCCGTCCGTGTCGCCGTATCCGCGTAATACGCAGATGTAACTGACCACATCCACAAATCACAATCTCTTGAATTCACATAAGATGTTGATCCTCTCCACCAAATCTGCCTCCGCGTCGTAAAACAATGAAGCAAAGAGACTCAAGATAGAAGGATGAAAATGTTATTAATAACACTGAGACGTTGCGTAAACATGGTAAATTAAAGCACCGACTCCCGATGTCATTACGCGGTGCAGGGCTCACTGAGCGGATGATTTTAAGCTGAATCAGGGGAAATGACATTCTCTCCATATGGTACCTTGACAATATTGATGGAACGAGCTCTTACATGGTAAGGTCAATGTGAAGTACATCTTTAAGCTACTCCTCTCAATGTATGCCATTGTCTTTTTACCTTGTTCTAAACTTTAGCTCTCTTCATACTTTTATCAATTGACACTTGCATTGATCGATCCGTTTCAGATAACGAGGCACCACACACGTGAGATCTACGACTCGAAGATATACAAAATTAGAGATTTTCTCTAAATTCTCGAAAAAGATTCATCTGAATATTTTTTTTCAAACTGCTCCCTTGTATCAGCACTTCAAATCGACATCAAAATCAAAATGTTTTTCTCACCCTTCATCACTGGCCTCCTCCCAATTCTAGCAGCTACTTCCACACAAATCGAAGCTCCCCAGCATCCCAGCATATTCATCCTCAGCGATCATGGATCCAGTACCTCAGCACTGGGAAATGCCCTCCAAACTTTGGGGTACACGCACATCTCCGCCGAAACATTAAACAGCTCGTTACCACAACTCAGCACACATACATTTACCGAAATCTCTATGGACGGCGCGTCAAATGAGCTCATGATCCAATACCCAAATACAAAATTTATCGTTCCTGTCTCATCGCCGCGGAAACACGGAGATGGAGAAAGTAATGTGGAGAGAAGACCCTGCGCTAACAGCTGGCTCAATCATTTGGCTACGTGGAGTAAATTATCGCAATATACCTCAAACGTCCATGCAGCCGAGGACGTCACCATTGCTCAACCCGAGAAATCAGATTCCGTCACGAGCTCCCTCAAAAGGGAGGGAAGATTATTAGAAATTGCTCTCGATGAGCAAGAGAACTATAGAGGCGAGAAATGGTTGAGATTGTGCAAGTTTTTGGATTTGGGATATAGTGTGGTGGAAAGATTAAATTTGAAGGAATTCCCTTCTTCGATGGGACAGGAGAAGAAAGCGGCGGGCTGGGGCGGAAGTTTTGGAATGTGGAGATTGGTCGTGCAGGGGAGTGGTGTTTGAAAGATCGATGGATGATTGAAAAAAAAAAATCGATAGAAAAAAAGTCTTGAGCTGGATACAAAAACACTCCTGGCTAGGATGTAGAAACGGCTGGTCGACTTGGATATCTCCTGATGTATGCCGATATTTACAATAGATGCGGCGAGGAGGAAAGAACGTCACGTGGTATCCGGAAGTCGACACGTGAGAGATACCCATTCTCCCACGGATACAACACGATTGAAGACTCTGTGTCGCGTTGTCTATTTTTCAAGGGACAGACGGGAGTGCTGTCCATGGGAAACTTTGAAGAAATATCGCTCTTAAATGCCCTCAAGGAACCTTAGCACAACAGAAGATTAGATAGCTAAATCGAGATACTTTACTGATCATATTGATTCATGACTTTCACTTTTACTTGATAAGTGGTGATACTATTCATTGTACACTATAAATCCCCCGCCCTCTTATAACCACCCTACCAATACAAGTGTACTGGGTGAGTAAACGAAGTCTATCACCACATCTTTCGCCAAGGAGGCAAGAAAACGAGTAATAAAGCATGAGGCCAAGCAAAATGCAATAAACTCGATATCATAATACATTTCTTCTCTCATATTCTTCAAAAGTCCAAACAGCTTCGTCGATTCATTCAAGAATATGTGTTCCGGTGCCAGGTTATCGGATAAATTACTCATTTTGACTTCATCATATCTAATGGATGTCCGAATTTAATCGAAAACGCGGGGAATGACACAGGCTGCTGGCATAATGTATCGAGATATCTGAGCCATAGGGGATGGTTCTGCTGTGCTCACACAACTCTTAATGATACGATAATTGTATTTATATAATATGAAAGACTAGCGGAGGTAGACCTGTCACCCGCTGGACATTGTTCTTTTTTTTGCAGTGAGTGCACGAAAGATCATTGCAGGTGATTGATTCCATTTGAAATTATCGACTGCTCAAGAGATTAAAAAAAAACGACATTGCAATGTCCTACATCCATAAGGAAATTCGATGACAACATTCTGGATCTCGTCAATTTCAATCTCCATCTCCATCTCCATCTCTCCATCACACATCCTAGGCACAGCGAATGCTCGCGTTCCATTTAACATCTTGACGCGACAAAGACTCTCGTCTCCAGCTGATGAATATACTGCTGCACACTCACATTTTCCGGAGACTCGCTAAGGTAGGAGTTCTGAATATAATTACTCGCTGCGGTATTCACGTCAGCATTGGGGATACGATTCAGTATTAGAGTCGTCAGGCATACCAAATTCTCTCAATTCATTCCACTCATCAATAATCTTCTGCATTTGTGGTCTCGCGAGTATCATTGGAGGTAAATTCTCAGTATCATTATCGATCAACTGTTTGATAGTCTCAAGATCCGTGCTCATGGATTTCCATGCTCCTTGAAGTAATTCGAGTGTGCGCATTGCGGGTCTGATTTCGCCAGTGAGATTGTTTACTTGGCTCTACAGGGTGATCGGGTTAGTATGGTGTGTAATCATACCGATGGTTTGATCACTTACGTTGACAAACCTGATATTGAGTTCCAAGCGAGAAGCAGTTTTCTGCTTAGCTTCATACTCATCCATCACAGCTTGGATCTCTTCCATAGCTTTTCTCATGCCATTAATTTCGTTTCTGGCTGCTTGAACGAGACCGACTCCAATGAAAGTTCCAATTGGCCAACTAGATATGGTTAGTTGAGTTGGAGGAAGAAGATTTGGTCTGATTGACTTACACCCACATGTATTTGGGAGCATCAGTTAGCACTTTATTTTCTATGACGTAACGAAATAGAGTCAGTAAATCATCAACGACAGAAAATGAGAAGATCAAAGTTTCTTACTTCCATCAATCCTGGACTGGTATTCTTCCAGCTCTGCCTGAGACGCATCAATTTTCTTTTGCATACTCGCAATATCATTACCCTCTTTGACTAATTGTGCCTCGAGAGAAGTAGCATTGACTCTCATCCTAGCTTCATGTTGCTCGCATTGTCCGTGGAAACCTTCCAATCCGGCTAGTGCTTGGTCTGCGCCAGCCTGTAATTGTTTGATCACCCTGAGTTCTTCGGTAACTATCCATTGTATACCTTCTTTGAGTTCCTTCAATCTTGCTTGATCAGGCCTGGGTTTGTTGTTTTCATCGTGGAAGTCGCCGATCCATTTTAGCATAAGAACTGTGTAGGAAGTTTCCTCGGTTCCACCTGACATTGTGGCGTAAATTCTGATTTGCGCTGCCATGTCGACAATGTTGCGCCATGTGTGATCTCTAAAGTACACACTGTCTGTTCTGATCTATATTGAAGGCAAGGTGATGTAATTATTAGTCAAATTTCTACTGCAAGACTTTCTCTTCGAGTGCACAATTTGAAACAAAGTGTCTTGGGAGAAATTATGGCTCAATCGAGATACGCACTTGAGTATAAGTCCTCACAAGACTGTCAACTTCATTCGCCAGGTCTATACTGAGGGGATCGGTTGACAAAATGCCCAATGATCGTAAATAATCATTGCGGGTGGTTGGAAGCAACCTGCCCGTCCCGAGAAAACGGTTCAGTGCCTTCATATCGGAAGAGTTGAAGATGAAAGCCCTCTCATCGTCGCTGGCATCAAAGCCAAACTTGGAATTAGCACGATTATCGACGAACATCCCCTTGGGGAACCAGACCTTTTCGTCATCAATTGGTCTTGAAGGATCGAACGACATCTTCACTGATGAGTTTCAAGAATGTTAGAGAAAGGCAAAAATTTTCGATTGTTCTTTAGAAAATATATTGATATCAATGAGTATGATTGTAGCGATAAAAAGCAATGAAGTCTTCCCTCTTTTAAATGTCTTTTGACAAGATTTCCGTACCAATGTACTCTGGTCGTCGCACAACCATTGATCGAGATTCAATTCTCAAATATTGTGGTTGGCTCTTAATCCCCACGGTTTTGCAAATCCCCACGTTATGAAAACATGTTTTTGTCCTCTTGCATCACAAGCGATGAAATAATGGCTGTTCATATTTCCTAGTATGGGGTGATAGTTGCATGATAAATTAAAGAATATTTGGGAAGTTGTAACGCCGCTTCACATGTGATATAAAGTTAACAATCAACATCTCAAGAAGCTCAGTAATTGAAGTCTTGGCCATAAATCCATTATCGCTTGATGCACATAGCTATAAGTGGAAATTTGGGGTATTTTCAGTGAAGATAATGAGTGACATAGCTCACATATAAAGAGAAAACGCAGGGGGATTGATTAGAGCTTTCTCTTCTAACATTCCAGCTGAAGCATATCACTGAGCGATAGCCAGCAAAGAAGTTGCGTATCCAGATAACATTATTGTCTTCTTGGCGAAGTTCAAATTTGGAAGTACACACATGTGAAAGTCGAGCTGAGAAAGTTTGGGTTGCGGGGTAACATCGAGGTGAACGTTGTTCGGGGGAGATGCAGTAAAGTTTATGACTATGCGTATGATGGCTTGCGAGTGTTACTTCCCCCACTGTGTTTCCGTAGCAGAATATGCGTGAGAAATATAATGTAGGCCGATTATTTCCGTTGTTGGGCAATTTGTTGCGCTTTCGTGGCGCTTCCTGCGTTGCGAAGCCTTAAAAATCAGCCCACAATCAATTGCGGATATATTTTCAAAGCAGATTTCTTGATTTAATCCAAGGGTATACTGAAGATCACCGCTCACACAAACCAGAGGTGGACGTTGCAAATAAACATTCCCCGCATCTCTGCCGCAAGCCACTCGGTAATTAAGCGCAGCAGCCGTAAAATTTCTCACTGACTATCATGTGTGCGGGGAAATTCTTCTTCTATTGGATGCAATCGGTACTCTCAAGTATGTCATCCAAGTTCTCGAGTTCACAAATAGAACAAAGTTGTGGGTACACAGCAGATTAACTCGTTGGGACCTGATGGCTTCTCGAATTTGCTTTCGACAGTTGCACTGCAAGGCGGGAAAATCAACCCCTCACTTTAGTTTACTAATAACTATCACATGCCGGAAGCGGCGGAGGTTTTGTTGCCAGACAATAATGTCTTGACGTCCATTCAAACGAATGAGGTATTATTTCTTTCAGTAGCTGAAGAGTTGAACTGATGAATCAAGCTGTTTGCATTAAGAAGGCTTGAAAATAAAGTCGTAGATGAGGGGGTTAGCCATTCATCGCGGCCTTGTTTGTCATGGAAACGACGTCGGTTATTGCCCACTTGCACATCACTGCTCCTATCACCTCAGTCAAATTTCCTCCAGGTAGCCACCATGCCGACCACCCGTAAATTTAATTGCAATTCTTAGGAGCTGAGCTTGTGGTGTTACTCATAATGTAGAAATCGATTGATTCAGGCTTTTTTCACTTCACAATCTGTTCTGTGATGTCCCATTAACTCCTTCAGCTTGCTACCTTGCATAGAACGTGATATTATGATGCAGCAGTGCTTTGGATTAATTTTCTTTACATACTTCAAGTAAAGCTGGCTAACTATCATTGACGAAGAGAAAGAAATCGTACCAAATCAACGTTGGGCGAATAACTCACTACTCTAACAATATCGATCATTGAAACGAAGCATCATGAGAAATATCATCATCCCACAACCCAACTCACCATCTGGGTGGCAGGCTTATGCGAATGAGAAAGCCGTGGTCAGTATTCCACTACAGGCAGCTCAAGATGTTAACCAGACTTCGGTAAGTTATCTCGTCTACAGAATTCGATGTACAGTTGTTAATTTTGATCCCTACCATTCAGAGAATCGCAACATTTCGTGGAGTTTTCCTTAATGCTTCCACGGTTCTTCCACACTCTATGAGCCGAGTAAACACCTATGCCGATGTTCTTGCCCTGGACCAAACTACCGTTATTGCACCCAACGATAACGGAACAATCCTTATTGTTGCCCGGGTTCTCACCTCAAACGGTCCAGTGACCCTCACAGTTCCAAGAGGTCTTACGACAACATGTGTCGTCTCAATCTACACGTCAGTAATCAATCAGCCAATCACAGTAGCCACAGGTGATAATACCAGACGCATTGCCCTCGATCAGATAGGAACTGGAAAGGTCAATGCTGGAGTGATTGTAGTCTTTAGTCCAAATGGTCTGCAAGTCGAATACCAGAGATACTATCCTCCTACTACCAGTAAAGAGCTTCAAGCAAGTTTGAACACGCAGCTTCAGATTGGCCTTATTCAATTCTGGCGAAATAGTTCCATAGCAATTTCACTATGCTCTCATGTTGCAAGAATCAGTACTAGGCAACAAGCCTATGCCCTCATCAATACGCAAGCAAGAGCCCTCGGTCAGCAGCTAGCTGGCCAAGCAATGGCTGGAAAAAATATGAGCTATGCTCCAGTGTTGGTTCTCAGCCGATATAAAGAGACGACCCAAGCCGCATTAAATGCTGCGACAGCATTTGAACAACAATTTGAACGCTTTCAGGATAAGGCACAGTCCTTGGAAGTTCACATGCAAGCATGGAATGTCATGTTGTCGCAAGCCATCAATGAGTATAACATGCGAGTCAGCATGCGCAACTTAGCGCTCGAGAAATACGAGTCTTCTGTAAGAACAGCTACTAGCTGTTTTCAACAATTTGATAACGACATTTTTGCTTTGGAATCTTTACGAATTGCTTTCCAATTGGGGTTGAGTAACTGGGCTTTTGAGCAAAAGTTGAGAGCTGTGTTCCAGATTCTGCAAGCAACCGTCAGTAAGTTAATTACAACAACATGATGCTTTGATGATAGCTAAGAAACTCCTAGCTTTTGCAATTGCAGTTGGTCAGCTCTGTCTTGGTAGTCCAGGCGGAGTTGCTCAAGGCGCGATAGCTGGAAGACAGGCGATCGGAGCTGTTGTCGCAGCAGAGAAAATCGCTGGCCAGGTGAACAAAATTTTGTCCTCTGGTACATTACAAACTCTTCTAGACTGCATCGAGGCCCTTGGTACTCTGTATCCTTCTGTCGATACTATAGTGAGGACACTGATACAATTTGGAAATAATCCAAACATCAATATTCCTACCACCGGGGATATCTCTGGTACAAGTCGAGGGGACGCTGATGCTGCCGCTATCGTAACCATGGCTGCATGGGATAGATGGCTTCTGGAAGCCGATGATCAAATGTTGTTTGCAGTTTCAGAGGGTGTTGCAGGTGCGAGTGCGTACCAACTAGGCCTACGAAAGCACGCTATCAATGGAAAACAATTGGCACAAGCACAAGCAGAAGCAGTTAAATCTGGGTATGAATATGTTCAGACGCAGATGGAAGTAATTCGGTGTTCTCAAAACATCGCAGATCTTCAAACATTAAAGGCTGGGTTTGTTGGTCAAGAAGCTGTTTATCTTGAAGCCAAATCAATGTTCTATGACCGGGCTATGGCTTTGCGAACCAATGTCGTCCTCTCACTCAGAAATATGGCATGGGCATATCGCTATTGGGCGCTTGCTGATAGTTCAATTACTCTCGATGGACAAAAGCCTTTGGTTGAGTATCAACAAGATCTCTCTACCGTTATCATGGAGTTGGAACGCGCCGACTCAAGATGGGCTAGTGGTCATCAACGTAAGTACTTGATTATATTTCTGTCTTTCGCGAAGATTTACTAATTTTATGTTAGCTTTTAATTATGACATTCCTTCGAATACGGTAGGATAATCCTGTTTGCCAAATCCATATCCTGCTCGTTTTGGCAGTTTATTACCACAAGAAAAATTAACTAACTGACCTGATGTCACAGCTCCCTTCCAACCAAGGTCAATCAATGATCAATGGCATCAAAAGTAATGATAACACTGCTAGTTTCACTCTTCTTACCGATAAGCATCTTGCAAGTCAATTTGTAGAGGGGTCTCATTACCGATTGAACGGTATGGATCCTACTCTAAATGGGATTCTTCCTAGACCCGAAGCAATGCAAGGTGGCGTTGTTGTTGTGAGACTGCAAATCACAACATCGGGTATCTATTCAGATATCCACAATAACCAAGTATTCCATTTCTCCAGTATCCCCCAGGTCAGAAGGTGCTCATATGATCTCTATTCAAATGGCACGAGAGGTGCGACACGTGACGAGCCTATATTCGAGACTAAAGATCATGCCGAGCCTACTCCCTTTACACAATGGAAGATTAAGTTGCTGAATCCTGGGGAAGTCAATTTGAATGGATTGAATGGAATCAATTTAAAATGGAAGGGGCGTGTTCGCTTTGATGAGAGACATCGACTGATTCGTGGTGTTGAGGAATTGTAGGAATGTCCTATGAGGTTAGCATAAAGCCTCGATAATGATTATCAGATTACAATTGCTTATTTAACTGGAACATGAAAATTCAAACATACAGTAATCATGACGGGCTGTCTGATATTCGTACTTGATATCGTTCAACAGATTATAGTTTGTAGTCCTTATTGACTACCAACCGGTATGTAGGTAGATATGCCACACTATACCGATCATTTTGCGCACGGATATACAGTACTAGTCAACTGCTATCAGCCGAAATCCATTTTCATATCAAAAATCGGCTTTTTATTATATTTTTAAATGCAAAAATCTTTATTATTTATAATTCAAATTATTTGAAAATTTATTTTTGGAAAGTTTTTATAATAATAATTGATATTTTCAAAATTTTAAATATATGAAAAATTTCTATTATAAAAATTTATATAATTGAATTAAGATATTAAAAAAGTTGCTTGATTTTCGCTTATTTTATTAGTAAATTTAACTATTTTGAAAATACTTTAATTTTTAATCTATATAATATAATCAAAAAAAATCAAAAAAAATAATTGATTTTATTTTTATTAAATTTTAATTGAAAATAAATCAATAAATATAAAAAAAGATTAATTTATATTAATATTAAATAAGAAAATTTAGGATTATAAATGATAAGTTTTGGTGTGAAAATATGTTTCGGCTGATAGCAGTTGGCATTTACTGTATTTCATCTCTACTAGCCAGAGACTAATTCCTTGGAGAGCAGAGCCTAGGTAGTAACGTGATACGGTTTGGTCCGCTTCCAACGTCGATCAATTCATCATACATTTACTCTAACTCGAGATCTGTGTCTTTCCATACCCTACGCTGATTCAAATATGGACCTGGAGCTCGAGTTCCCAATACTTACATTCCACATATTTGAGCCGGCGATGGATCGATCTTGTTATGATTTCCATGTCACTCAGACACAATCCTTGTGAGTATTATGGGTGGTGTATGTAAGATCTGTTGTTTGGTTCTCCATCTGTGAGTTGGTTTACATGTCAACCACACCAATTTCTTGAGAATCATCCTGCCAATTGATGATTGAAGCTTTCACCGCTTGGCTACCTGGAATTGGAACTACGACGATTAAATAGACATGCCACACTTGAGCTTCTGCCCAGACTTTAGCTCACAGCATGAAACGGGACATGATGGGGATGCGAGGAGCCTCAATTCTTGTCGCTATGGTGGTGATGTCGAAGACAAAAACTCAGAAAGAATCGATGAAGATTTTGTGCGTGGACCAGATGACATCAGAATGCATATTGGAAGCAAGTTGGATTATATTGAGGATATTCCAGAGGCTTTCTGTTATGATTATGTACCTAACACACCGAATCCAGAGATATTGATCGATAACAGTGAAACAATTCGATTTCCGTTGTCCCGTCATGATATTGACAAAATCGTTGTGGCAAGTAGGCAAATGTGCAAGAATGCTACAGCACACAACCGGAAAATATTGGTCTATCTCAGCAGATAATTTGAAAACGACAAATCCATCATGGAACAAGATACAAGAGTCAATCCTCCAGAAAGTGGGAGAAAAATTGCGGTTAGGATCAAGAAAGTTCGATGCTACTTTGACCAATCTAATCCTATCTGAAGACGGTACCAGTTGCGAAACTAATGTGTAAGTTCATCTCAACCGGGAGCTCTCTTCTTAAGTAACAAGTTCCGTCTACAGCCCAGAGTTTTCCGCTCGTAATTTCGCAACGTTGGATATCATCTTACCGTCGACGCGGGCGGAAGAGAAAATTGTTATCAAATCTAAGAATGTCTGCATCCATGAACTCACAGGCCCAGAACCATCAAACTGGGACAGCTCATTCTTTTGTTGGGTTGGTAAAGGCATTCTTTTTGGTCGTGTTGTCAACTAATAACTTCGCAGTTTTGAGATCTTTCAATTACAAGCACAGCACCCGTCTCCGGTCATCGCCTAGCTCTACGCTATTCTCTTCGTTATACTTCGATCAAAGACATCAGTAAGCATCTCAAATTTTTGGCCTTCAGCTGTTCCTTTGAATATGATGAGCAAGTGTATAAAACCTTTGATTGGCTGTTGTTGCGTCACACATTTGAGTGACCAATTTTGGAGTGGTCTCACAGTCTGCGCAAGTCATCGATTTTGAGACCCCGAACTAATAAATGTCTTTGTAGCCTCCTTAACCGCCCATGCTAAGCCTTCGATCAATTTACGATCCACTCTACGTCAATGGACTGATAACACTAGTGTCGCTAATAACATCTTGACACATGTACTGAAAAAGGATTATGGGAACAGATGCTCAGACAAAGATCTGAGATGGGATGATTTGTTTGCGATCACTCAACTCAAAGATGTTTCAAAACACGTTGGTCTTTTCTTATGCCTGGGTAGACTAATCGTGACTCTTGAAGGTATTACCAAACCTCCTGAATTGGATGGTATTCGCCGTGGTGAGCGTAACAGGTACGAAATTGAAACCACAAAATACGAACTGGGTCGTTTGAATTACCTGGATGGTGAAATATTGTTCAATGAACGTAATTTTGAAGTGGAAAGCTGCATTCAAAACATCAAGGATATTTTTGATGGCGGTCTATCCGATGATCGACAATTGGACTTCAACAATAAGCCTTTCTATCAGCCTTTCCATCAACGGTACCATCGGACGGTAGAAAATTCTTTCAAAAACTACATTGCTTGGTCTAGCTTGCTATAACAGTCACAGGTCGTGCTCATTATGCCTCGCAGCCATAAAATGAATTTTATATTAAGCGATAGGAAAGACGAATATGTCTTGAATAACAGTATTCAAAAATTTATCCTATATAACAGAAAGTAATGCTTTTTTAAAAATTCGGAGACTTAGATAATTCTCTATTTGATAGAATCTTTGAATCATGTAACTCATGTTAACTCTTCCTTCTAGCAATTTACTCTCGTTGGGAATAGTAGAGTAAATCGAGTTCAAAAATAAATAGGATTAGCGTTAGAAAGTTCTTTGACATGTATGATATTCTATTTGATTGATTTGGTTAAAAAGTTGGAAAGTTTTTGTAAGTCTATATTTCATAAAACATACTAAAGTATTTTATTTATTTTTATATTTATATAGGTTTATATGATTATAAGAGAATAAGTACTTAAAGATTGAGTGGTCAAGTCAGCGGTTAAAGTATTAAGAAACTATAATCAAAATCACTGTTCTGAGTATTCTAAACCGCCGTACTAAGATGTATTATATTATCTAGGTACAACAGGTTTGTTCCCTGAATACAGGTGGCTTCCTTATGAGCCTAAGGTCCTTAGTCATTACGTGACTGTAGTCATAACAATAAACCTCCTCTCAATGCATAGACCCCAATCTCAGTCTCGGATGGTTCCTTCATTCCGTTTCCTCCCAGCGCAGCGGCTTATTCTCAGCAACCCACGCCTTCTCCGCCTGGCTACCAAATGGCGGTGCATACATCCCGTTGACCTTCCATAGCCGCCGCTCCGTCTCGTCAATGTGATATTCCCAGTTGTATCCTTTATCCTCAATGTGAGGTTTAAGCGCCTCATCAACTCTCGAAGTCCACTCATAGTGTTGTGCTTCTTCCATATGAACTGCGATATGGTCGACTGCAATCCGAATGAAAGGTGTGGTTGGCTGGTCTCCGCCAACGTACATGTTTACATCTGAGACCTCTGTGAAGACAACGACGACATAGAAAGCGGGTAAACCGACTTCAGTGTAGAGTTTGGTAATGTCCTGTGACAATGACTTTTTGGAGTTCTCATCGTCGAATGCATTTTTGGTGTAATAAATATTCCAAAAAGGCATTGTTTGTTTGGATAAATATTCGAGTGGTGGCGGACGTGACTTCTTTGTATTGAAAGGCGTGTTGAGAATAATTTTGCTACAAGCTCTCATCCATCTCGTTTGATTTATACGCGCCGACAACCTCGGTCGGATGATGTTTACTATTCATCGTTCTATGATTACTGATCATTGTTCAGGTGAGACATTACGTGAAAGGCTGATTTTCTTCTCCCAAGATTATGTATCGATAAATTTATATCCAGCGATACTGTGCCCACACCGAGTTTCATAAATCAGCAATTATGATTGCTTATAGGATTTACTAGACTAAAAGTATATTCTTCGTAGATAGCTCTTGTATCCATACATGGTTCGATTTCTCATCAGTAATCACACCTGGTAAAAATAGTCCACCCGAGGCTTGAAAGAACTCTGGACTCGGTGACGTCTCTCGGGGAATGATTCCAACTCTTGTATAGTACTATAAGGCTCCATGGGAGATTTCTGAATTAAATACCGGCGGCTTATGCATTGTCAACTTTCTAATTCACCTATCCCATCTTTATTAAGCCATCGTCACCAAGTCAAAAGTTCTCGGTAATTTGATTATCAGACAATTCAAAGAGACAGATAAATTTAAACTGCGTGCAGTTCTGTTCGCTGCACCGAACCAACTTTCACCTGTTGCAACCCCAGAAAATCCGGCGCATCTATCTCTCCACCGTTCAAAAACAGCCATGCCTCTCCGTGCCAATGTCTACATCGTCCCACCAACTCCGTGGGAGTTGCCAAACACGGGCGGAAAGCAAGGAGGAATATGGTCGCCAACATTTCTCACTTTAATCCATGGCGAAAAGGAGGCGCTTCTTGTGGACACTCCGATCACTATCCGTCAGACAGAAAACCTCATCAAGTGGCTCGAAAAGACAGTCTCAGGAAAGCGCCTAACAACCGTCTATATCACCCATGGCCATCCAGACCACTGGCTTGGCCTCTCCACCCTGAAAAAGAAATACCCAGACATACGCATACTATCGACGGCAGCCACCTTGGAGCATATGAAGCACGATGTCCGCCCAGGTTTCTTTGAAAATGCATGGGGAGCTATGTTCCCCAATGGTCAGATCGATACCGATTTTGTGTTTTCAGAGGCGCTTCCTGCTAGCGGGAGATTCGATATCGAAGGCCATGAGTGTCACGCCATTGAAGTGGGCCATTCTGATACAAGGGATTCAACCATTCTCTGGGTCCCGAGCCTCAAACTCGCCGCTTGTGGAGATGTTGTGTATGGAGATGTTCACCAGATGTTAGGTGAAGCAAACACGACAGAGCTACGTAATGAATGGATTTCGGCCATCGAGCAGGTTGAAGCTTTAGGCCCTGAGATTGTGATAGGGGGACATCGGATGAGTGGGGAGGTAGACGGGGTATTCCACTTGGCTGCAACAAAGCTGTACATTCAGCAATTCAAAAAGCTTCTGCCAACTTGTAAGAGTTCTGACGAGCTCCAAGCAGAGATGGAAGAGCTATACCCGAATAGATTTAACCCCAACGTCCTAAAATGGGGTTGCAATGCTGCCTTCGGTTTACCAATGTTTGAGGGACTGTAAGCAGTGTTCCCGCAATCCCCTTCCGCCTTCCTATTATCGACTGCTGGGAAGGAGTGGGGTGATACTTCATAGACTGAGAGCCTCATTATTAGCAACCCTGGCAGTGAGCTTTGAGAGTTGTGTATAACTTTCACGCTTTCCTCCCCTCTCTTCTGGCCACGTTGTTAAAAATGTATGTAAACGAGAAGATGACTGATTATGCAGTAGCTATTCCTGCAAGAATATTGATTACATCAAGACCATGGAATATTCAATAGAATTCAGACAAAAGAAACCCTTCTCGGATTGATGTTCGGCTTGGAGGTCCAAACCCACAAAATACAGGCGTTTATGATCAAGATCAAGCTTGTGAATTCCAAAAAAACTTGTACTCCACTGGCACTTGAATTATGTGTGTCATGATTCTGTAAAGACCCAAGAAGCCTTAAAGGTAGCCAGGGTGTCCGCCGCCAAAGTGCGATGAGAAGGAGGGAGGAGGTTCCGGAGAGAGATTAGGGTTTGATCGAGCAAATGTTTCGGTGTCAAGGTAGACTGACAATATGATGGTCGGTCGGGGGAAGTATAAGCTAGAATATAGAGACATTCAGAGATAAATTCAATGAGTATACTCCCTAGCTATGAGGATAATAAGAGCCATGACATCCAGATATCTGTCTTGCTAAAACTACCTACTTAGGGCTAGCTCTCTTTACTTTAGCACCACACGAATTACTTTTAAGAGATAACTAAATTATTGATCAGGTTTCAACTGTCGTAATTAAATAGATCACAAAGAAAAATGCTTGTTAGAGTGGATTGGATTTATATAAATAGCTAATAGACATAAATGCTCCTACTGAATGCTCTAGACTCAGGAATTATTCCATCACCATACAGTAATACACGCTTTCTAAGCACCTCCCATCCATTTTTCTCAATCCATTTAGTGCTCTTCTCAAATGCCTCCACTATCTCCTTCGAAGTGTAAACACAGCCTTTAGTAACAGGGGTTTCAATGCACACACTTCGCTCAATACGCCAGCTCTCAAGGCCTTCTTGATAATCTTCATTAGAGATATAACCATCTTTGTCAATGAATTCTTTCATTTCTTCCCAGAACTGGGAGATGTCCTCCCATGCATTGACCTCCTGTATGTGGTTTTGTACCTCTTCTTCTGTAAAATGAATTGGGCAGGGAATGTTGAATTCCATTTTACCCCAATTTCTATGTGATTGTCAGTTTCTCGTTCTAAAAAGACTAGAATAAGTGTGACACTGAGGTAAAAACAAACCTTTCCAGCTTTATCAAACGTTGTCTCAATTTCACAATATCTCCATTCCAAGTATCGAAGCCATAGTCGAGAATGTTACTTCATATACTTGCAGCAGGCACATTCTTCATTTTGTTGAGTAAGGAACTCTGTTCAGCGATTTCTAATTCGTATAGATCCTTTCTGGAGAACCCGAAACCCACACGCCTGACGCGGCTGCCGTCATGTGCAAGCGGGCTAGCTTCCTTGAAATCTTTTAACTTCATCGCACGATTGTACTTTGTAAAAGCCGGATCGTCAAATTGGAGGAATAAGGGGCCAGTCCATGCAAATTGCCAATCAATACGACTAGTGATATTACCATCTTTAACGAAGACGCGGTCTGAATCAATTTCGGTATGCCAAAGATTAGATTGTGTCATCCTGGCATCTTCTGGGGTAATAAAGCGATGGATGTCCAGAAATCTGTTGTAGAGATCAATATGGGCACCAGGAGAGTGCTGGCAGTAGAAAAATGAGTCCTTTGGCGATTCTCGAAGATTACTTTGACTCAACCATTTAATCTGATTATTAGCCTGAGATTTGAGGAAGTCGTGAGCAGTTTTCCCTGAGCAAGATTAGTACTTGATACTCATGAACAATGATAAATTTTCCATTGCTTACAGGGACCGTGGTCGATTCGCAATGCTGATAGCTCTTCTTTCCATGACGTGTCTTCTACACGTGGACCAATTACGAAACGCTCTTCCACTTCTTTCTTCAATTCAATGGGTATGTCATTCAAAACCTCTGCCTTTTCACACCCAGAAAACCAGTCTTCAGTAAAGTAGATACTACCGTGGCTATTGAGATGTTAGTAAGTTCCTACAGATCCGAGCATCTGTTAAGACCAACCGTTTGAAGACTACAGAAAGTAGCTTCTTCTCTATGGCCACTATATCAGCGACGAACTTTTTTCTTGACGCTAGTTCTGTGGCAAGTTCTTCTCTTGACGCGACACTCTTATAGCACTCATAATTTCGATCTGCCAGCGATATTCTTGGTGCTTCTTCCATTATGATGTAGTCTGTGTCAACAGGGTTATTGGACTCTGCGCTCCAAGTATAGACTTTAGGAACCGGTATATTTAGAATGGTTCTAGCCTAAGGGGTCAAGATATCAGGTGCCACTTCGTGAAATGAACTGAGGGTAGACTTACGAAATCCATAGTTGCTACCTCAGAAGCTGTGGCTCTAGAATCTGGACAAAGGTTTCGAAGGGGGATGCGTGCAATAGCAACGGAATCGTTATCCATTATCAACTTGAACACTCTGTTGTAACCCGACTCGCTTATCTTGGTCATTGAAGAGCAAGATTTAGCACCGACACTTTCGATTGCAATGCGCTTGAGTGCCTCGACGTTGAACTTTTGATATTTTTCAGAAAGTCTTTTCTCTCCATCCGGTAACCACTTACCACTAGTATAGCGGAAGAAGTGATCATACTTCTGCGAATTAGTATGTGTTGACAAGCATCTTTGTTTGAACTGAATCAGACGCAATGTTCTGGAAGACGCGGGTAGAATTCCCAAAGTGTGTATAGCAATGGGCATAGATAATAGTCGACATATATGTCGACAACCGATATGGTGCCACAGCATGATGAGGGCTTTATGAAATCAAACTGGCGCCCGTGATGATAGAAGTCTCTTGTTGTGCATGGTAACTTACATGGAAGAATTGATTCTGGCGTTCTTATTTGAAACTTAGCGTGAGCGAGAAGAGAATTGTGCTCATATTCACTTGAATTGCAGTACAGTACCTAGGTACCTAGGTAGCCTCATGAAGCTGGTGTAATAAATAAGAAGGTCAGCAGTCCTACTTCGCCATTGGACGTTTGTCTTTGGTCGTGCATTAGAGATGATGACACCACGTGACTAAGTTGACATTGATTACTTCATCCACAACGTGATTGACATTATCCAATAAAGTTTCAGCATTTACTCAGGCTGTCGGTAGGGACTAGGGATGGGCAAATTACATATTTTTAGGGTTGATTATATAATTTCATATTATCACGCCTTTTGAGGTATATAAAATATTATGCCAAGCTTATGCACGTGTTTTTTGAACCAATAAAATCATCAGGATGAATGAAAGTGGGTCGTTTTTAGGAAAAGTTTTTGATGGGTTCTAATTTTCAATTTAGTATACAATTAGACCTAAAAGTCAGGTGCTAATTATTTACTAATTATGTGATTTATATATTAATTATCTTCTTTTCAAACTAGCTTCAAAATAGCTTCAAAATAGCTTCAAAATAGCCTTTTATAGGATTTTTATAGGATTTTATAGGCTTTTATAGGATTTTATAGGATTTTAGGATTAGTCATACATATAATGCGATTTGACTAATATTACGTATTATATTCAACTGACGAATATGCGATATTATATATCATCAAAAATCTCAACCCTAGTAGGGACACATGCTCCGAAGGTTTAAGATTTAGTGGCCTGGTGTGGCTCACAATTCACTAAAGTGACGTCTCTTACAGGGAGGGGGTACAGGGGCTACAGGGGTTTCAAGTAGCCCACACATTAATATTTCGAGGTTTGAATGAATAATAAATGAATAATAATCCGTCAACACGATATGATACGGTCATAGTGATATGATACATCGACTTCATTTTCTATCAACATACATCCCATTACACAACTTATCGACTGACTGAATCATTCGACTTTTTATCAACCGGAAAGAGTATATTCTGCATACGATACACATTATACTCCCTACACTTACTTCTACTCCAGTTTTCCCTCACCGATTAGACTTCAACAGCCCAAATTAATCGATTCAACGTCAGTCAACCCATCACCATCCACATCCACATCAACACCCACCGCTTCTTGTCTTTTCTTTTTACAGCTGTGCATTGAAACGCCAGCGAGGTGTTTGTGACTCAAAATGGCAGACCATGCATTTGCACTCAGGAGGGAATTTATTACAGGACTCCCCAAGATCTCTTCATCTTCATCAATCGCAGATATGAGAATAACCGAATCTCAAAAGTTGAAAGTCCTGGTGGCCGCAAATGGAAGTAAAGATGTCGCACAAGCTCTCGCCCTCATCGTGAGGTTATCCAAGAATCCTAAGATCGAAACTCGAGCGATCATTGACGAAGAAACGTGGCCATCATATCGATTATCCCAAGAGACACTGGCATACCAAAATAAGAGGTTCTTGCCGAGGGAGACGGATGAGGCAAGAAAGGGTATAGAACGAGATCAAATCGAATATTTTCGACAAGAGGCCTTTGAATTGTGTGACTGGGCAGATATACTAGTACTAGCACCTATCGATGCCGACACGTTTGCGAAAATGTTGCACGGCATAACCGATTGTCTATTGCTCGAAATTCTCCGTGGGTGGGACGTTTCCAAAAAGATATTACTTGTACCAGGAATGACAACATCTATGTGGGAGAACCCGATCACGAAGAAGCAACTGAATAAAGTACGGAGAAAGTGGCAATGGGTCCGAGTTATGCAACCAATACTGTGGCACTATGATGCGAAGGGGCCAGGTAAATGTTTCGTCGGGTGGGATGGATTCAGCGAACTTGTCGACGTTATCAAAAATCAAGCGGAACTTTTGACAATTGGACATGATGTGGATATCGCAGCATCTGGTGCCGCAAGTCTCGCAAGATATAATATGAAAACGGATGCGCTCCTTCCACCAGAGATTTGGTCCCTCATTTTCGAATACGTAGGAGATTGGGAGGTTTCGAGGGCGCTCAATGTGTACGCCAAAATACCGAGGCCAATTGAATGGCAGCGAAAGCCCGACGATACAAAAGATGAATTACAAACTTACATGCGATCACTCGAATGGATTATTCTTACATCTCCCGTTTACAAAATTATCGACAAACTGAATATCGCCCCCGAGAATATGCGAGAGCTTTCCCCACTATGCGTCAAACTCATCATCAAGTTCTGCCTTACGGAAGTTCTCTCATATCTTGAAACAAAATTAAAGGACGTGTTTTGGGCAACTTTTGGTCAGAAACTTCTACCCACAAAAGCGTCTGCTGTTTATGGACGTACCGAGATTCTAGAATGGTGGCGCACATCTCCTTCCTTCTTATCCAAGGACTATACTGCAGAAGCAATTGATGGAGCCTCGAAATCTGGATATGTACATGTTCTTGATTGGTGGAGAAAATCTGGTCTTCCTTTGAAATACACAGAATTGGCACTGGAACAAGCATCTTCCAAGGGACACATGCTAGTTCTTGAATGGTGGAAACAAGCAAGTCTTCCCCATAATGAAGCCGAAAGACGAACTCGACATGCAGAAGCTACAACCAACACCTCTGATGTTCTTCCAGCTTTACAACTCAAACCTGGTAAAGCACTGTTAGCCGCAGCGCAGAACAATAAAGCTCTCGTTCTTCGGTGGTGGGATAATTCTGGTATCCCTATCGCACATTCGGAATCCGTGGCTAAAGTCGCATCTGCACATGGCCATGTCGCATGTTTAGATACCTGGCGTGAACTCAAGGGCGAGAAACTAGCATTCGATAATCAGGTTCTAGTAGGTCCTACGAAGAATGGTCACGTAGAAGTTTTGGAATGGTGGGCAAATCTGAGTCATGGATCGAATGGAAGACCAGGAGGAAGAGTCGAATATAAAACCTGTGATATAGAGGAAGCGCTTGAAGATAGTGTAGGAAACGAAGGAGAGGAGTTGGAGGTTAGAAGATGGTGGGCGAAAATGGGATTGAATCTGGGGGGATCGGTTAGTGAGTGGACGAGGGTGAAGGTTTTGTAGATAAAGATGATGGGAATGGGGATGTCATGATATATGTTGGTAATGCACTGGGTATATGGGTATGGATGGATGGTCTGGGGTGCATGGATATGGTATGAGCATTTACGTGGAGTTATATAGCGTGTTTGATATCTGAATTACTCTGAGTATAGTACGATAGTTTAATTTTGAATAGCCTGTGTCTGTTTCCAGATGTGCCTTCTATCGAATGATTTTCTCGTCAGTAAAAAGCGCTGGTGATATAGTCGGTCTCTTACCACCCAAGAGAACCATGCATCTGTATAATTCATAGTTAATCATCTCTAGTCAGTTCTCTCACAATCCGTCTCTTTATACTCTGTAGGGAAACGTCAAATTCTCGAATCATGTCTCATAATCAGAGGAATAATCTCTCATAGTTGGACTTTTCATATAACGTGGCATGAAAGATTAGGGGAGTTGAGTAAGGTATTAGGGAGTGGAGATGGAGATGGGATGGGATGGAGATGGGATGGAATGGAGATACATGGGAATTTGTTGTGTGATGGATTGAGGGTGTGTGGTTTTCTGGATGTTTGGATGGATATTTGTAGGCATGTTTGTAAAAATGTTTGTTAGCTTTCAATAAGACAGCCAAATAAGTATAAACCACTCACTAAAGTTTGCACCTCGCACATATCATATAACCAGTATCTTTCTCTATATATGTATACCCCGCGTGACGATCCGAGCAAAGTGTATTCTTTCATCTCTAATTCTTAATTTGGTTCTAGGTTAGAGGACGCGTTGGCAATGTAAGAAGAAAATAGCAGGCGAGAGGATGAAAAGAGGGAGACCTTGGAAAGTGATTGAATCGTGGTATTTTTCTCGGTTTGCTAATGTTTGTTCTTGTTTGTTCTTGTTTGTTGTATGGATGGGGTGTAGATCCTGATATTTGTACAGGGGAGACTTTGTTAGCCCTCTTACTCATTGAAACAGCAAGTTCCCCAACAGATGACGTATACGCATGCAAGGCACGCTATCTAATGGCATGTAGGGGAATATTTTGCGCCGATTATCAAATGCAGATGTAACTTTAGATGTGAACAAAGATGTGGAATGTCAGTACTCACAATTCATCTTCCCCAACGTTCATTTGCAATATTTAATCCGACATAAGACAGACGACTTCTCCTTAACTGACTTGACACGAGCTCGTCCATGACACCCTACAATCGAAAATAAATGCTCAGCTTCCAGAAAACACAAGTTTGAGCCCAGAAAAACGTACGCTTTCGTGGCCTCATTCACTATAGAAACAAGTCAGTCTTATTAAGCGATATCGCATCCGAGAACTAACCTTCTAACTCCCTCGCTTTCTCCTTCATCACTACTAATGCCGCTTTGAAAAACTCCATTCCCTCTCCCCAAGTTTCGGATAATTAGTCGTCACTATTCTCTCCACATCCTCCAACGGCGATTCTCTAGTTCCCCCCATACCCTCCATTCGTGGATCAGCGCCATATTCCAATAACAACTCTGCAATAGGGAGATTCTCATATCGAGGCGTAAAATCAAAGTGAGTAACATCAGTAGCATAATGAAGTGGTCGCCCCCTACTCTGTTCAGCACGTCGGACTTTGTCTAGGGCGTTTGGATCAGCACCAGATTGGAGAGCTGCGCGCACGTTGCTAAGTTTTTCGGCAATAGGATGACCGGATATGATTTCCCAGTGGAGGGGAAGTGCTTCGATGTACTTGAAGGGTTTGCTTGGAGGACCTGGTGCAGACATTTTTG